TGCAAATCATGCAGCAAAGGGATCCCGGATCATGAATTACAGCTGCAAACATACAGACACAACTTCTTCCAATACTCTGCAGCAGTCTATGCATGGCCTCCTTCATGGAGTCATAAATAAATATTAAATGATGTAGTAGCATCATCATCATCTGGCCGTGAGAGTTTCGCGGAATCCAATGCTCTATGTTGTAGCAAGACACTCCTAAATGCATTTCAAATTGGAAAGTACACAGTGACAGTGTAAGAAACAGGAGGAGACAGTGAAAACCCTTCTGGTCCCGGACCAGGGTTCGAACTCACAACCTCCCGGGCCCCAGTCAGACACTCAAACCGCTCGGCCGAAAAGGTCTAGACCCCTCGGCCGGGTCAGTTGGTAGCGCCTATAAACCCCCCACTGTTGCAACAGCTTATTGCAAATAAAACTTCACATTTAAACCTGGACTGCAAATCTTTTATGATTTACAGACAGAGTGAGTGCGTTACATATAATGTTCTACATTTTGTTTGGCTATTGGTATTACAAGTGCACAGCTTTAAATTCTGTACCTGCGATTTTGCCCGTAGAAAACTCATCAGCGACGCTCTTGCCGACCAATAGGAAGTTGTCTGTGTCGAGCAGCTTGTCCGCCTGTACGCAGGCCTCGAGGTAGTCCAGGGAAACCACGGGCAGACCGAGTTTCACCGCGGTCCGACACTTGTAACAATCCGTCCTGTCCGCACTACCCAGGACCAGCAAAGATGTCTGGGGATGTGATAATAAAAAAAATTACAGTTAGATATAAAAGAGGTCCTGCATGGGGGCATAGTGATTACAAATTATGCAACATTTTTGCCACCGATTATGAATTCAGTAACGTTAAATTCTCAGAGCTCATTACAACTTTACGCTTTGTGGCTAATGTACTATTACGAATTACGTCGATTTTGGGGGAGACTGCCTACGACGATTAGATATAAAAAGGCCTGATTACGCCTTACGAAAAAGGGCATGCAGGCCCCCATAAAATTACAGAAGCATTATTCTATACAGGAAATGTTTTAATTATGTCTCTATCAATTTATCATAATAATCTTAAATCTGTTAAGTCTGTATTTCACTGGATCCTATACCTGACTCAAGCCCCGACTATTTATGTGAAATTTCCTTCTCAGTCGAACCGCAGACCGCTATGCGCATCGGTTCTGCGTAGCTCTCTCTAAGATCTCGTTTAAATCTCGCGCTTCTTTTCCAAGGTAATGTGATCCGTGAGAATCCGCGAGAGTTTGCTACTGTTTACTGTTTCGCTTGTAACTCCGCTTTGCGTAAGTGTTTCCTTGTCATACGTTAACGTGAGATGTAAGAAGGGCCGGCGTCACGCTCAAGGTCGTAGATGTACATTACCGGTGGTGTTTGTTGGAGAAACGAGGTTTCAAAGTTGACCGTGCATGATGGAGATCATTCCACTCGAGATAGGTACCCTTTAGTTTTTTGGGGGGCAAACCCGTTTGCCCTATTTCATCGTCGATTTGGTGTATTGTTTAATAAAGTATAGACCCTCCCTCATCTATCGTGTGTTGTTTCTTTTGGGATCCTGTAGTTGTTACAATATAATAACCGATAGTAAGTTGGGCTCATAATAGTCGAATTCTCAACGATTTTTGTTCGAATCGCAAGCTTTTGCAACTAGTTCTAACCAATACACCTGGAATGTAAGATGTGGCTGAAATATAGTTATGTTGGCTTGACACCTGTGTACTTAGTTTTGAAGTTGCACAATGTGTATTGCAGCTCGACCTTGAGAAAAAGTGTAATTTCTTTACAGTTTCTTTGCCTTCAAAATGTTCTGTTAAAAGTTATATTGAACAAAAATGAAAGTGAAAGAATATCGACCAAATAGTAAGCTTCAAAACGATACCCACTTTACGGGTGAAAACAGAAGAGAAGGAATTTGGGCATGAACAAATACAACAACAGGTTGATTTTTCATGACCTAATTTTTGAAGGAGAAATCGGACACTATGACCTGTTACTGTAAATATACAAACATCGGGCATATGTACTGACATTTGTATAGTTGCACAAGAATCCCACTTTCTCTAGCGTCTTCATGATATAAGTCTTACTTGGAATGGGTTTCAGAAAGTCTGTTTGTGATGAAATAACTTGATTCCTTCTTTTTATGAACTTTCGCAAACAGCGGTTGAAAGTTGCAACATTGTTGGCGGCGCGAAAAATGGAACGCGCTGCCTTGGTTCCATGGATCGAACGCAGGAGTTCGAAACCGATTGACTTCAAATTTGACGATTTTTGAATGGTCAGAACCTTGTATTAAATTCCTCTTTTTGTATATAATTGAATGTTATCATATCACGTATTATATTGCATGTGGTAGCCACATTCAAACAGTTTCTCATACTTAGAGACGAATTTTATGACATTACGCGAAATGTATCAAAATGTAGCGGAAACTCAGGATGGTGTGTGTCAGTAGCTTACAACTGGGCTAAATTTGACCACCGCGATATGCGATCGTCACAGTTTTTTGGGGGGCAAACCCGTTTGCCATAAAATTTACCAGGGGTCATTGGTATCAATGTAAAGGTAAAGAAGTGGGCTATCACAATGTGGTATTAGCCAACGGGATCCAGTTAAATAGTAAAAAAGACAAGCACAAACAAACTGACCAAAAATTGCTCATTTTTGGAAGGCCGTAGCGCTCGCTGTCATTTTGCAATACACGAAATATCTACATGGTTGTACTGGGCAAATCCTGTAGATGTGAAAAAATGTAAACATTGTGTAGGTCTGAGGTCTTTTTGCTGCACTATTGGCAGTTGTTTACACCCATGCAACGAACGGGGTCAAATCGTGACCCGGCAAAAGCCGTATCTTAGAGAATACCGCGTTCTACGGTGACCTGCGGTTCGAATGTTCTCATTTGATAATAAAAATGTTGACCTCTGACCTTTTTGTTGATGATGTAAGAGATGACACCGTCATTCTGAGTGATGAGTTCTCTCAGCCTCTTCTTCTCCTTATATGGTAGTGTGACACCTGTCAGTTCCAGGGTTACCTGGCAACCAGAGAACACACCCATCTGGGGGAACAACAGGTTCATAAATTTGCATATGCAGGAATAATATTGTCATATTTGTAAGAAAAATATACTGTGACTACAATATGATGGCAGTTGAAAAATATTTTGTTAATGAGATTACACCTATCTTTTTCTATTCAATATAATATTAGCCGAAAGCTTATTCATCTGGTTATTGTTATATGTAGGTATCACTATCAGGGCGAGAATTTTACTACCAGATTTGTGTATTTGCAGAAATTTTTGCTCAATTGCCTGTAAAATTTCTGAGAGCTTTGCAATATAAAAGGTGTATTTTGTCTGAGGAAAATGCATCTTGAGCACTGACACAGGCACAGAGTAACAAATATTGTACAAAAATGTGTAATTTAATAATAACTTTAACATAACGTTTGTGAATTTACGTTTAAGCAGCATTACCTTACAACAGAACTTTGATAAGTAATAATTCAATCAGTTGCAAGAGTCTGAATCGTTTTGCTCGCCCCTTCTGTATTACAAGGAACAATTATTGTAATTTGTATTCAATGTCCTGAAAAACCAAACCCGGAAGTAAATGATATTTTGATCTTCTGTAATTTTCTTGTAAACGTCTAAAAGTTAACACCATCATACCGTCTTAATACAACAGGTAGAAATAATTCAGAGGTTTTAACGACCCCTCGGTCCTTCTCTTCACTGTATGTTAGCATGAAAATGTTGTTCAACAAGTCTAGATCTTTTAAAATCTAGCACGATTTCGATCAAAATGTCACTGAACATGTACTGACGTACTAAACTTATATACATTTGTAGCGTAAAAATCGGCTTTAAGATTTGCAAAATCACCAACTACAGGTTAGAAACTTCAGTCTACGTACCTTCGGAGTCTTCTTCTCTCTATAAAGATGTTTGCAAGTCCGTACACGCAGTTAAAGGTGACGTAGCCAGGTCTTTTTGCAGAACAAGTTTATAAAACTTCCCCCTTTAGCTCTGACCTCATCGTCAACAAACACGCCTGTGACCTGTCACATGACACCGGGTCACGGTGTAAGGGCGTCACCTAGCGGTATGTTTACAAAGAGCAGTGATTGAAATCCGCAATCAGCCCCCTATCAGCCCACTCGGTCGCTTGCTCTCTCTCTATCTCTCTAGATGTAAGGTAGAATCCATCCATCCATCTATCCATCCATCCATCCATCCATCCATGCATCTATGCATCCATCCATCCATATCCATTCACCCATCCTGCCGTCCGTCCATCCATCCATCCATCCATCCATCCATCCATCCTTCCGTCCGTCCATCCATCCATCCATCCATCCATCCATCCATCCATCCATCCATCCATCCATCCATCCATCCATCCATCCATCCATCCATCCATCCATCCATATCCATTCACCCATCCTGCCGTCCGTCCATCCATCCATCCATCCATCCATCCTTCCGTCCATCCATCCATCCATCCATCCATCCATCCTTCCATCCGACCATCCATCCATCCATCCATCCATCCATCCATCCATCCATCCATCCATCCATCCATCCATCCGACCATCCATCCATCCATCCATCCATCCATCCATCCATCCATCCATCCATCCATCCATCCATCCATCCATCCATCCATCCATATCATAGGCTGTTTATCTATGTTTATCTATCTAGTCTATCTATCTAGTTTATATCTTTTTATCCATCAACCAACATGTATCTATCTCGCTCTATTAAAACTATATGAGCTGAAGATTTGATATCTTTGAGACTGTAATTTTTCGTTGACGCAAAACGATATTTCCCGACGATCCCCTACCCTTGCCGTCCATCCATCCAACCGTAACAAACGACACTTGTTTACCGCAACAACGACAACTTACGGATGTCCACAAGTACCCCCTCTCCGCTCATGCGCAGTAAAGCACATCAGGCACAAGTTTCCAGCACAATTCGCCACCAGTCGCTTTTCCTACACAGAACTGTGACGCTGTACAAAACATTTCTCAAATGTGATTTCAAAATGACTCCCCTCTTTCTTTTTTCTAGCACTTTTATTCTTCTCTGGTCAACATGTGGTGAGTGTATCTTTTTGTTTGTTTGTCTGCTTTGTTTGTTTGTTTGTTAGGCCTTGCAATTGTTGCGTACGCCAAGTTCTAATAGTTATCAATTTCAACACTAGCAGTTTGACCTAAAGTCTAGCTTCCAAAAGAGATAACAACCACTGAGGTTGAAAAAACTCGCTGGCAACTAGAAGCTTTTATTTCGCAGTTCACATTCATTGTTATTTTGAACTTAGTGCTCTATGTCGGCTAAGGGTATAATTTTTAGCGATACTATTACCCGTATATGTTCGTTAGTTAATATTCTGCGTATATTCTTAAGTCACCATGGATGCTCCGTACTTTATTCTATTTTATTTACATATATTCATTGAGCATTGGGCAAAAAGCAAAAGTTGCTTAGTATATCACCTTCCACTCATACGAGTATAAAACACATTGACAAGATACATGCATAATTACAGGGTGGATAAACCCAAGATAAATACAAAGACAACAAGTTGGTGATCTATCAATTACGTACGAGAATCTGCCCGTACAGTAAATGAAGTTTGAACTACATCAAAAATATTACAGTTTTGTTGGTGAAGAGTGATGTGGACCCTCGAAGTAGTAAGGAACATAAGGAACTATCATTGAGATGCTGCATCTCTACTATGTTGGAGAGAGATGATAACAGAGTACTTCTTTGACTGGAATAAAGTTTACAATGTAGAAAGTAGTATTCAGTTGTTTCTCCGTACTTTAGCGTGATATGCTATTAGAAAAAAAATTACACACATTTAAGACCGCAAAAGCGCGACTCGAATAGTCTTTTAAGGTGGTTAATTGTTTTGCTCCTTTCATAAAACAGCCATACTTGTATTTTCTCACACAGAATCAAGGTATTTCGTTGTTGTTTTTCCTAGACAAATGTTACTTTGTTAACAAGTGCTAAAGTGACAAACTGTGTTTTTGTGTGGACATCCTTCAGCAACGCGTTTGCATTGCACCAAGGACGTTTTACAGGATGTCCTTGATTAGGCCACACCAAGTTAATTTTATGGATGACGTCCGCGCGCGCATTGATTTTGGCCTCTTCCTAGAAAAAAAAACAAGAAATTCCGCTTCCTGTAACTATGACCAAAGAGTCACGGCAGTGCCACAAATCGTCAGATTGACGTGAAACCCGTAACGCAAAGAAAGTGTTCATTACCATCCTGTCAATAACAGAAAATTTTAAACTGTCCACTGTTCCACCTGATTTATTGCTGTTTTGATGATGAACAAAAGACTTCTTGCTTGTTACACTGTGTCACCTGATTCAATTTGTGTCCTAACATTTGTCGTCTCTTAGTATATTGCTAATGTAGGCATCTTGTTTTTTAGGGCCCTTCTTGTTTTTTTTCGCCCTCTCGCATTAGATTTAGGGTCGGTCTCCAAAGGACGTCATCCATAAAATTTACTTGGTGTGGCCTTACACAGTACATATCTGTAACTGATAATCCTTTTCAAGTTTTGTCAGAATCCTGTTTTCATTGTTTTTCATCTCATCCAAAGCGATGTTGCCGAGTTAAGAGACGGGTGCACGTAATATAAAACCGCGTAAACGGCATCTATTTCAATCAACAGCGTCATTGGTACAGAATTGATGAATACAAGAAAGGGATCAACTCAAAATCTGTGCTAGGGAGTTGTAAAGTTTTTACCTTTGATATGAGGACCGTCATTTTCAATGCCAAATATCCGTTCAAAATGAAAATAACTAATCTAATAGAAAACTGGAAAAATTGGTATTTAATAGGGGTAATATTTGAACGATAGGTCCATTGAATTTCTTTGTTCTCCACTTGAGATATATAAAAAAATTGAACAGCGTGTTGTCATAGTAACGACTAAGAACGTAATCTTCGGTTGCCTAGCAACGAGAAGGAGCAACTAATTGACCTATGAAGAGCTCTCTTTCATAACCCTCTTACCAAAAGGTGACGTCTTGTCTCTACAAGAGCGACACTCATTGGTCAAGTGGCATTTGCGATTTTAGATGCTGCATTGTTAGAGCCGGATCTGATCATGTGTTTATGTACAAGAGCACTCGAGTGTGTGGCCTAGGGGGCCTTGATTTAAAAATGGCGGCGGTATCAGATATTTTACACAATATCGTCTTGGACGTCTGGGCGCTTACGGTTTGAGTTTTGGCCAGAAATATCTGATATATAAGTAGGTTAAGAGGGTCAGAAGCACAGGGATAATCTTTGGAGAAGAGAAAGTGGAGGAAATTGTGTTTAAGCATTCTTTAAGAGAGAGAAAGTGTCTGCGAGAGTATACTTTATACTTTTGAAATCTGAATGTTGTTGCAAACAAACGCATGTATTGTTCAGTTACTTATAGTAACGTTGTCCAAATTATCCGTTTATATATGAATAATTTTATTTTCCACTAGCATCCCCATGCTATATTGTCTGTTATTTGACGTCATTTGACTCAATATAACATACAAGGTTAATATATATTTTAATGATTCTGTTATCTTCCTATGTTTAATATTGATATTTTATTATCATCTATAAGACTAGCTAGCATCTGAAAAAAAAAGACATTTTGGGCTCCCAGCAGCTTTCTTTGAACTGCAGTTATTTGTTGCACTTTTTTTATATAAATAGGAAAGATGTAGTCGTTGTATAAATTTCTTTAATATGTATTTTATATTTCAAGCCTTATTTCAACTTTTTTAAGAACTTTATATCCTAGTGTTAATTTGTTGGTACAGTTGTAGAAGATCTTACAAAAGTCGCCCTACCCTCGTTCCTCAATAAAGTTTTTTTTTAATTTCTTTCAAATTTCTTTTAAAGTAAAGTTTTCTTTATCAATATTTTTTCTAATTTCTTTCTTTCTAATTTCTTTTTTTTTATTTCTTTTAATTCTTTTCTTTCGTTAACTTTTTTTATTCTTTTCTTTCTTTAAATTTCTTTTAATTCTATAGTATAGACTAGTGCGTAGTGGTATTCGGTCCAGAATTTTTCTGCGACTGTTGTTTTTTTTCTAACTTAAGGATTAAACAACATAATCTATAACATTATGACACAAAGTTGAACTGCAATTGCCAACACAATGAACTGGACTCACCCAAATTTTCGACTGTACAACTCCAGTCTTTGTCAAGGAATGAGCAATCCACCGCTTCCTTGACGTCACGCAGATGACACAAGTGACCCCGTGAGCAATGGCTCATAGGATGTAGAAAGTCTGTGGCGCCCCCCGTCTCTGTTGAGGGATTAACAGTAACATTAATTAATATATGTGTATATTTTGTTTTAATATCAAGGCGCCGTTATAGACATCACAGTCATCAACAAGTTCCCGTTCAGATAACACAAGTGACTCCGTGAGCAGTGGATCATAGGGTGTAGAAAGTCTGTGGTGCCCCCCGTCTCTGTTGAGGGATTAACAGTAACATTGATTAATATATGTGTATATTTTCTTTTGATATCAGGAGCCGTTATAGACATCACGGTCATCAACAAGTTCCCGTTCGTTCTCGCGTCACCCTCGCGAGACTACACGTACGTGAAGTGCGTCACTCCCTACACCGCAACGTTCGGCGCCCTACACACCCCCAACATACCCCGGATGTCGTTCAGTAGGACGTTTAGAGACGAGGAAGCTGATTGGCCAGGACAGGACCTCATGTTCTTCTCCTTCGCGGGAGATGAGAGAATCGGCGGCTTCCAATGTTCTGCCGGGGGAGAAGAAGTGGCGGCTGTGAAGATGTATGAATCAGGTATAGAAAATCTTAATTTTGTAAAAATGTTTGAATAAGATTCCAAACATCTGGAAAATTATACGCATGATCATGACAACACCAGCTGAAATTTCCAGACATAACTTTAACAGAAAACAATACCAAAAGAGTCCCTTCCGCGGAAGGATATCTCCATCCCCGGAGTTAAAAGGATCTGAATGGCAGGGGCTTGTTCTGAAAAAATATAAATTTTGGCAACGCCTCAGGGGTGAAGTTTCATGTTAGTTATATTACATTCGTAATTAACTCATGTCATGTTGTGTCAATAAAGAATCATATGTCATACGGTGAGACTTAATTTACTTTCTATAGATCCTTCAGTTTTCCATCCCTTGTTACTCCGCAGCCTCCTTTATACCACCAACTTTTTCATTGACCTTGAACCGCGGCGATACCGCAACAATCCGCATGGCGGCGCAGCAGACACAGTTCAAGTCAGTCCGATGGAAACGAAATGGAGTGGTGAGAGTTCATTCATTGTTTGAAAAATCAACCAAAAACCTGTATAATGGTACTATCCAAAAAAATGGTCGGTTATTCTGATAACCGACCACTTTTGAGGTTACGGCCTGATAACCAATGGCAAATGAAGCCTTCTGATTGGTCGACGTCTCCCGGCTATTTGATAATATGCATTATGTGACTATGCGTTATGGAAAATATTTAAGTAACGTATTAATAAGCCTTAATAATTAATATTCAAAAGACTTTTTCGTTTTTATCATATCTGGCATATCATACTGGTATATCTGTACATCTCACAGGCAATAACGAATAGTGGCAGCACTTACGTCATCAGGGGGGCCGATCCCACTAGACATGAGGGGGTGTACAGGTGCTATTACGACGGAGAACCGGAAGATGGCGCTATGATCAGAGTCATTGTCAGAGGTAAGCTGTGTGATGAACTTATAGTATTACACATATTTAACCTCCTTACGTTGTTTTAGTTCACTTTGCAAAATATTTTGAAAGGCACACAAAGCCATCCTTGAATCCAACTACAGTTTGAATAGAAGTTCATCTGAGTTGGTAAATTGCATTCTTGGTCGTTCTTTATTTCATGTTAATTTTAACTATGTAAATTTTACAGCAAAAATTAATTAAAAACTGTTCGCCAACTGAAAGTGACCCAGCAGAAATTTCGACGGAATCTCATCGTGTTTCCTCTTCTTCTGCTCCAAACAAATAATGTTAATGATCTGAACCAGACGTCTGTCACCATGGTAACTGGTGTTGGGTCACATCATGTTGCAATTTTACAGCAGGATTTAGATTCCTGTTACCATATATGTGTTTAATTCGAGTAAGAATTAACAGAGCAGACCATATGCAAAGGTAAACATTATGCATTTGCTTTCCAAATGTTACCTTTCTAGTTTTCATTTTACATTTGTTCTGACGTCAGCACTGGGTCAAAGGTCGTCGTAAGTCGGTACCGCCCCCCTATACGCAAATCCAAAGTTACCTGGAAACTTTAACCATTCAACATGGCGGAGAATACTTACGTCATAGTCACGTGAGGGCAAACGCCGTATTCAATTTTTTTTTCTTCAGGATGTCAGGAGAACAGGTGGGGTCCCGGATGTACCCGCGACTGTCCCAACTGCCTTCACGGTGGAATGTGCCACTCGGACACGGGGGAGTGCATCTGTCCGCCAGGATTTAGGGGAGACCGCTGCGAAATACGTAAGATGTCGAAAGTCGTCATAAATGAGCTGTAGATAGTTAATGAGAATATGTTCAAAGTCGTTTGTTAGTATACGTGTATGTATCGCTTGCCTTTTCAATTTGGAATGCACTGATCTGTACGTACTTGTATGGTTTTACAGACCTACGGTATTGCATCCAGAACCGTGCCTATCTACTAGTCCTATACCTGAATGGGTTAGGGTTAGGATCATGCACAGCTCTGGATAACGTATCCTCACCCAAACTATCCCTTGACCTCTTTGAGGGGTCGTTGGAGCACCATGACTGGGTCCTCTATCCTCCGGATTCGTATATCAAAGCAACATAAATTTGCCCGATGAAAGGTTCTGGATACGCGTGGACTATCCAAAAGATCCCAAAACGGTGACTGCGCATGGTCCTGTATAAAGCACGGTTCTGGATACGCGTGGACCATCCAAAACCGCGCCTGAGCATGGTTCTGGATAAAGTACGGTTCTGGATACGCGTGGACCATCCAAAACCGCGCCTGAGCATGGTCCTGGATAAAGTACGGTTCTGGATACGCGTGGACCATCCAAAACCGTGCCTGAGCATGGTCCTGGATAAAGCACGGTTCTGGGTATAACAAGACCATTTTCTCTATGTTATGATATGCAAACAAACAAATAAACAAATAAAAAAGTGACCACACCCTCCCACAGCCTGTGGAAGTAACCGGTTTGGACTGACCTGCTCCCACAAATGTGACAACAGCGGCAACGGCGATGACGCATGCGCAGACCTGCAGTTCTGCCTCCCCGACCCTTACGGCTGTTCCTGTAACACCGGCTTCCGGGGACTGAGATGTGACACAGGTACGAGTTCTTTGTTTTTTGTTTGTTTGTTTGTTTTTTTTTTCTCGAGCAATGGCATTCACATCATTCTGCAGCTTTGCGTTATTATTAGAAATAGAACTGGCTTGGCATTATGTTTTTGGATACTTCGAGTTCGGAAGTATTGTTTCGGGTGGCCAAGCTATGGACTTGTGTGCCTGTGTTATTCCGGACAGAGTAGATTGATAGAACGGTATCGCAAGAGTGACACGCAGATTAAAACCGGAGGTTAAAAGGTTGAACACAGGAAATGGGGTGAAGTTGAAGGTCACGAAAACACCCAATACTTTTCAAAACTTTTCAATTTAGAAAAGTTTGCAAAATACACCACCAAAAAGAATTCAGAGACCTCGGACTTCAATGAAATACTTAATATGTCCTTATAATCACCATGTACACGTTTATTGTGCAAAGGAAACAATGCTAACTGTCATCTGTCAAGGAGGTCATGTAACTAAAAACACGAAAAAACACGAGTGCTACCAGATCTCCCTCTGAGACAGACGGAACAAAGCATATTCATTACAACCTGACATAAGGGCCATGCGGAAGCACAGACACACACACGGGCACACACACACACACACACACACACACACACACACACATACCGAAAACAATATTTCCACTTTTTATGGAGGTAAAAATTTTGTTTCCGTAGCCTGCAGCGCGGGAACGTTCGGTGCCGGATGTACGTCTACCTGCCACTGTCGTGATGACGTCACCTGCGACCGCTTCACCGGGGAATGTCCCGGCAACACTTGCGCGTGCGGCTGGGAGGGGCGGACCTGCCAAGACGGTACTACGTCATAAGATGATTGACAGATGTGCAAACGTCTTTCTAAGGGCGTCTGTGATATAATTATAAGCCACAGACATAGAAATTAGCTATTTCAGGCTGACATCACCTTCTATGAGATGTTTGGATGAATTTTATAATTTTTTTGCGAGAACTTCTTTTCTAAAACATTTTCAACAAGCCAAGGTGATGGGTTTGAATGCATCTTTTATCTTTTCTTTAATGTCGGCAGAAAAACGAGACTACTGTGACAGCGCCCCTTGCGAGAATGGTGGGACCTGCAGCTACTCGGCTGAAGAGGACACCTGTTTTGTCTGCGCATGCCCGGCTGGTTTCACAGGGCAGGTTTGTGAGACGGGTAAGTACTATGAAATCTCTATATTTATTTCTTTTGTTCTTTTAAATCTAATAAAAAGGTATTATATAATATATCATAAATAATTTTATCTCCAAATAAAGTGGAGCCTAGTTTGCCTGCATACGTTTTTAAGCCGTGCAAATATTTTGTAGAGTGTTTGTTACTCTTTATACAGGGCAGTGTGTTTAGCACTGAGTGCGCGTCTTCTCTTAAAAAAAATGTAGAAATAAATAAATCAAAGATAACATTATAGAGTTGGGAAAAAGAAAGGGTCTATACATTCAATTCTGTCTTTATAAATTGTATCTAAAACACAACTGGCACCAAACTGTTGAAGACATTTAAAACGATGCATTTTTTTTCAGTGTATGAAATTTATTATTGTTTGAAACAGATATTGACGAATGCGAGTCGACCCCGTGTCAGAATGGCGGCATCTGTACAGACAGAGTCAACTCCTACGTGTGTGACTGTCCTGACGGGTACACAGGAGACAACTGTGAAGAAGGTACAGAACACTGTCGTCCGATCTAGATAGATCATGCACCCTTTGATAAAGCTTACGTATTCAGGAGACTTCAGAAAGGTATGCCATCATTAGGTTCCCTGACTTCTCCCATGTTCGCTTCCAGCCATTCTTGCTGGTCCTCAGATTCTGAGACGTTTGATCGTCATTATATTTGAATTGACCAGTCAAAAACGTCTTGTCCTGGGAAGGACAAATACAAGAATACGTGAGTTCCTAGTGAATTCTTTTATCAGTGACAACTTTGGAAGGATAAGGATACTAACCTCCAAATTTTCGATGGCTATCAGTCCATCTTGTTCACGGT